TTGAGTTGGAGTCTCACTCTGTCACCCAGACTGGAGTGCAGTGGCATGCTCCTGGCCACCACATCCTCAACCTGCTGGTCTCCGGTGATCCTTCCGCCTCAGCCTTCCAAGTAGCCAGAACTACAGGCGCATGCTACCACGCCCAGTTCGTTTTTGATTTATTGTAGAGACAGGTCTTGCCAAGTTGCCTGGGCAGGTCTCGACCCTGCGGGCTCAGGCAGTCCCTTCACCTCGGCCTCCCAAAGTGCTGGGATTACAGACTGAGCCATCAAGCCTGGCCTAATTTTTTTTTTAAAATTTACTGTAGAGACAAGGTCTCACCAAGTTCCCTGGCTGATCTCAAACTCCTGGATTCAGGCAGTCCTCTCGCCTCCGCTTGCCAAAGTGCTGGGGTTACAGGCGTGAGCCAACATGTCCAGCCCATATTTTTACATGTTGTCATAGCCACCTTGAGAGACAAGGGTTCCCCCCCCCCCAATTCTTTTCCTTTTTCACAGGTGTTGAGAGACAGGTATTTTTTTAATTGTTTCCTTGATCACAGCAGAAGAAACAGGAACAGAAGTAATTTACTAAGTAATACATAGCGAGTAAGTATATTAGGAGTGTGACTCAAACCTAAGAATGTATAACCTTACGTCCCATACTGTTTACTCCATTCTTTCCATAGTATCTACCATGGCCTGGGACTTATTCCGGAGAAGAACAAGGTTTTATTAGTCTTTGTCCTTGTGATAACTAGAATCTATTTTAATCTTTTTTTTTTTTTTTTTTTTTTGAGTTGGAGTCTCACTATGTTGCCGAGGCTGGAGTATGGTGGCATGCTCACGGCTACCGCAGCCTTGACCTGCTGGGCTCAGGTAATTCTTCTGCCTCAGCCTTCCAAGTAGCTGGAATTATAGGCACGTGTCACCATGCCCAGCTAATTTTTTGATTTATTATAGAGATGAGGTCACCAAGTTGCCCAGGCTGGTCTCGAACTGTGGGCTCAGGCAATCCTCTTACCTAGGCCTCCAAAGTCCTGGGATTATAGGCGTGGGCCACTGTGCCCAGCCAATCATTTTGTTTTTCAAATATGTTTTTAATGTGGGATAGGGCCCTTTTTTAGGAATTGATTCTTTCTTTATTTTTGAGTAGGAGTCTCGCTCTGTCATCTAGGCTGGAGTGTAGTGGCATGCTCATGGCCACTGCAGTCTTGACCTGCTTGACTTGGGATCCTTCCACCTTAGCCTCCCAAGTAACTGGAACTACAGTCGCATGCCACCACACTTGGCTAATTTTTTTTTTTTTGAGTTGGAGTCTCACTCCGTCGCCCAGGCTAGAGTGCGGTGGCACTCATGGCCACCCCATCATTAACCTGCTGAGCTCTAGCTATCCTTCTGCCTCTGCCTTCCAAGTAGCCAAATCCCCCCCCCCGGTACCAGTCATCTTTTATTAGGGTGTTAATTTTCTTCTCTCTCTTTTTAAAAATTTTCAAACAAAGTTTATTAGAGAAAAGACAGGGTGAGTGCCAGAGCTGCCACAGGCAAAAGAAACCGTCGGGTGTTGATTTTCATTAGATTATGAAATAATCCAGGAATGATCAAGTTCCTTATGAAGGGTGTTGTGCCAAGGTGGTCATGGTCAGGAGAGCAGAGTGCGCCCTCTTTGGTGGTACTTACATACCCACTTGTGTTTGAGCTTCTTGTAAGAAAGGCAGTAACTGAAAAGCACGTAAGCCGCCAACCCCATAGAAACCCCAGGGGTGTTCCCTTTCTTCACATTGATGTACTTGTAGCAGTGGTGGTAACCTCTTTGAAATTTTCCAGTGGCCTTAGAGGTGAAATCCTGTATCATTATCCAGCTTGGAAGCTCCCATAGTTTGATGTCCATGAATTTTTCACTGGTATGACTGGCATCATCTTAGAGTCCTGGTGTCTGCTGTTTCATTTTATTTCTATGTGCAACATAACTGCTAATGCCTGGTTGTGTTTTAGATTTTTGAATTGTACTCCTTTGCCATAGTTGTTCAAAGTTACCAATTGTTTGGATCTGGCAAAAGCCAGAATACCAAAGGTGATTAGTGACATAAGTCATCAGAAAGGTGACTGATTGCTTTCTTAGCACTGAATTTATTTGATAGTTTGCCTTTTCTTTTTAGGGTGCAAAAATGCAGAGCAATAAAACTTTTAGTTTGGAGAAGCAAAACCATACTCCAAGAAAGCATCATCAGCATCACCACCAGCAGCAGCACCACCAGCAGCAACAGCAGCAGCCACCACCACCGCCAATACCTGCAAATGGGCAGCAGACCAGCAGCCAAAGTGGGTAGATGGGAGATGATGGAGTAGAAATAGGTTCTCTTGGGAATCGTTTCTTGGTTTTTAGATTCGTCTCTTGGGATTAGAAGGGTATAGGCCTTTAATGATACATCTTTCTTCTTTTTCCTCCCTATTTACCTCTTATGATAGAAACCAAGGAACAGACATGTATGACAGCAGTCGAGTACAGGTTGTTCTGCTGTGTTGGCATATTTTATGCTTAACAGATGTCTACATGTTTTACCTTAGCTTGGTTCTCAGATGTAGTCATCAGATGACTGGTAGTTAAAGAGAATTTGGAACAAGTCCTTTTTTTTTTTTGAGTCAAGAGTCTCACTCTTGCCCCAGCAGGGTGAAGGGCAGTGGCACACTCACGACCACTGCTCAAGTGATCCTTCCGCCTTAGCCGTCCATGTAGCTGGAACTACAGGCGTGCACCATTACACCCAGCTAATTTTTCTTGATTTATTGTAGAGACAAGGTCTTGCAATGTTGCTTAGGCAGGTCTCACAACCAAGTTGCTCAGGCTGGTCTCAGGCAATCCTCTCATCTCGGCTTCCCAAAGTGCGGGATTATAGGCTTGAGCTACCATGCCCAGCCTTGGAACAAGTCCTTTTTTTTTTTTTTTTTGGGGGGGGGTTGGAGTCTCACTCTGTTGCCCAGACTGGAGTGCAGTGGCCGCTACCAGCCACCGCAGCCTCGACCTGGGCTCAGGCGATCCTTCCACTTCAGCCTTCCGAGTAGCCGGAATTATAGGTGCGCGCTACCACGCCCAGCTAATTTTTTTATTTTATTGTAGAGATGAGGTCTCACCTGCCCAGGTGGGTCTCGAACCCGCGGGCTCAGGCAATCCACTCACCTCAGCCTCCCACAGGTGAGGGATTACAGGCTGAGCCACTGAGCCCGGCTTGGAGCAAGTCTTTAATGCTTAATGAAGAAGTCTGGTACTGAGTATTATACTTGTAGCTTTGAGCCTGTACCGGCTCATTTTAATTCAGAGTGAAAAGTCTTTAAATTAATTCTTGTTCATTCACTGAACTTTGATTACCTATTGTGTGCTTCTAAGACTAGAACCAGTTTCAACTGTATTTTGAGTTTTCTACAAAGAATTGCTCTTGCCTAACCTATTTGTTTTCTTTTCTTTCTTTCTTTTTTTTTTTTTTTTTTTTTTTTTGAGTTGGAGTCTCACTCTCACCCAGACTGGAGTGCAGTGGCCGCTCCCGGCCACCGCAGCCTCGACCTGCTGGGCTCCGGTGATCCTTCCGCCTCAGCCTTCCAAGTAGCTGGAACTACAGGCGCACGCTACCACGCCCGGATAATTTTGATTTATTGTAGAGATGAGGTCTCGCCAAGTTGCCCAGGCGGGTCTCGAACCCGCAGGTCAGGCAATCCACTCACCTCAGCCTCCCAAAGGCTTGGGATTACAGGCTGAGTCACCGAGCCTGGCTCCTATTTGTTTTCATTCCATTGTCCCCAGTCTGAAAAAATGGCAGCTTTTAAATTTTAAAATCGATCCTTATAACATAGTCCTTTTTGAATTGCTTAATTTTCTCTTTGGCCAGTAGCTCCTGTATTTTTTCTCTCTTGCTTAGTCCAGCTTGGTTTCTGGCCCATAGAAGAGCTGTTGCAATGTTTCTCTAGATCCCTACATATTGCTTCCAAATTCTAAGGTGCAGTTTACTGATAAGTGGTTAGTGAATAGATTGCATTGGGAAATGGTACTTACCTCCTCTACAGCAGTTATGTTTCCTTATGTACTTATTTTGAGTTGAAGTCTCACTCTTATCACCCAGCCTATAGTGCAGTGGCATGATCACAGCTCCCTGCAGCCTCAGCCTTCCGAGTAGCTGGGACTACTGGTGTACACCACCATGCCCTGCTAATTTTATTTTTTTTCTAGAGACAAGGTTTCATTATGTTGCCCAGGCTGGTCTCGAGCTCCTGGGCTCAAGCAGTCTTCCTGCCTTGGCCTCCCAAAGTACAGGACTTACAGGCATCAACTGCCACACCCTGCCATGTTTTCTTATTTTTTAATTTTAATTCATTTTTAAAGAGATGGGTTTCTGTATGTTGCTCAGAGTGGTCATGAACTCCTGACCTCAAATAATCCTCCCAAAGTGCCGGGATTACAGGTATGAACCGTCTTGCCCAACCTTTTTTTTTGAGTCGGAGTCTCACTCTGTTGCCCAGACTGGAGTGCAGTGGCCGCTCCCGGCCACTGCAGCCTCGACCTGCTGGGGCTCCGGCGATCCTTTCGCCTCAGCCTTCCAAATAGCTGGAACTACAGGTGCGCGCTACCACACCTGGCTAATTTTTTTGATTTATTGTAGAGATGAGGTCTCACCAAGTTGCCCAGGTGGGTCTCGAACCCCTGGGCTCAGGCAATCCACTCATCTCAGCCTCCCAAGGCGCGGGTTTACAGGCTGACCTTTTTTTTAAAATTTCCTAATCTAGCTGCAGTTAATAGGTCTTTGAGGATATGACTGTAATTCTTTTCTTTTCTTTTTCTTTGTGACTAATTCTCTCCCCAATCTTGTGAGTGACTGTGTATCTTCTCTCAGATGAAGGCTTGACTATTGACCTGAAGAATTTTAGGAAACCAGGAGAGAAGACCTTTACCCAACGAAGCCGTCTCTTTGTGGGAAATCTTCCTCCTGACATCACTGAGGAGGAAATGAGGAAACTATTTGAGAAATATGGGAAGGCAGGCGAAGTTTTCATTCATAAGGATAAAGGATTTGGCTTTATCCGCTTGGTGAGCACCTGTTGGCTTTGGGGGATGTGCTCTAAAAGGTGGGAAAGCTGGGGAATGATGGAGGTGGGAAATTAGACAGTGAGAATGATTTTCAGATGATCTGTTCGTTAAAAGCTTATAGTTGATGAAACAGTACCCAAAAAACGCAGATTTTAATTTTTCCTCATAGATTGTTTTGTTTTAAGGGCAACATCAACTTATTTGTCTAGAATACTATGACTATAGAATGCCCCTGAAACCTGTACATATGCATTATCCAATAATTATCAGCTCAATTTTTATATTTCTCCCCTATGAATACTTTTGTTGTGAAAAAATTGCACAATAACTAAGGCTTTTGAAAGTTGTCTAATTGTGGTAAAATATAGATAATATAAAATGAAAATGGACCATTTTAACTATTTGTAAGTACAGACCTTTTTTTTTGAGTTGGTCTCACTCTGTCACCCAGGTTGAAGTGCAGTGGCACGTTCATGGCTCACTGCAGCTTCAACCTCCTAGACTCTGGTGATTCATTCACCTCAGCCTCCTGAATTGCTGGTAGTACAAGCATGTGCTACCACACCTGACTGGTGGTTTTTATTTTTATTTATTTTTATTTTTATTTTTTTGAGTTGGAGTCTCACTCTGTCGCTCAGACTGGAGTGCAGTGGCCGCTCCCTGCCACTGCAGCCTTGACCTGCTGGGCTTCAGTGATCCTTCTGCCTCAGCCTTCCAAGTAGCTGGAATTACAGGCATGCGCTACCATGCCCGTCTGATTTTTTGATTTATTGTAGAGATGAGGTCTTGCTGCCCAGGTGGGTCTCGAACCCGCGGGCTCAGGCAGTCCACTCACCTCAGCCTCCTAAAGGCGTGGGATTATAGGCTGAGCCCCCGAGCCTGGCTGGTTTTTATATTTTTTTGTGGAGATGAGATTTCGCTATGTTCCCCAGGTGGTATCAAACTCCTGGACTCAAGCAGTCCTGCATTGGCCTCCCAAACTGCACCTGGCAAGATCTTATTTTTAAGTCTAGTTTGAATTAGGGGAAGTATATGAGAGGAAAATATCTCTGGGCATTATCTACCTCTATAAATGTGGAGCCTAATATGACAATAAGATCACTGGATGGAATGGTTAGAAGTGGTTTTTATTTCAATCTGCTACTAATTCCAGATTATCTCAGCAAGTCATTTTCCCTGGGTGTTAGATTCCTTCTCTAGTAATATGAAGGGCATCCCACCAAGGTCTGTGGTTCTAAAGAGACCTCTTGGAGAAGGCATAGGTGATTCTGGTATGTAACTAACAAAAATTAAAGTATTCTGGGTGCTGTATTGTAAAGGTAGATTTTAGGGTGGTCTTTGTTTTCTGGATAATCTGTTACCACTTGAGAGAATAAGCTATGAAATTGATGACCATGTAAGTGATATTATATTACTTCTAGAATTACATCTGATCTGTTGCAAGGCCATCAGAGCAGTTACTTTAACCAAAAAGTTACCTGAAACTCAGAATTCTTCTACTTCTGTTCAAGTTTCTTTATATGCTTGTTGCCCAGTTTATTTTTGGAGACATTTTTGTTATTGAGCTGTGTTCCTTTGGACTGTTCAGGTGGTCTTTGTCAAACATAGTTATTCCAATTTTCCTCTGCTTTCTAGGAAACACGAACCCTAGCGGAGATTGCTAAAGTGGAGCTGGACAATATGCCACTCCGTGGAAAGCAACTGCGTGTACGCTTTGCCTGCCATAGTGCATCCCTTACGGTCCGAAACCTCCCTCAGTATGTGTCCAACGAACTACTGGAAGAAGCCTTTTCTGTATTTGGCCAGGTGGAGAGGGCTGTAGTCATTGTGGATGATCGAGGAAGGCCCTCAGGAAAAGGCATTGTTGAGTTCTCAGGGAAGCCAGCCGCTCGGAAAGCTTTGGACAGATGCAGTGAAGGCTCCTTTCTGCTAACCACGTAAGTAAGGGGTCTTTTTTTCAGAAATGAACCTGTTTGCTAATTCCTTTTGTGGTCTGGAGAATTAGCCTCTAGTAACCATGTTTCTATGTTCATTTAAAGGTTTTGGATGCTAGTTGAGCTTTCTAGTATGATTGTTTATATAATTTTAGGTTATGGAAGTGGTATGAGGATTATGAAAAATAACTTTTTAGTCTTTCAGTAGGTTGACATTTAATCGGTGTTAAGTGTTCCCTTCAACATTTTAGAACTCTGGAAAGTTGTTTTGTATATGCAGTGTCTCTTAGTGTTTACCAAAAGTCATTTCCTGGAGTTCTGTAGATAGCAGATGTTTAGGCTGTCCTTATGTACTGCTCCTATCTATTTTGAACATCTTTTTGAGGCTCTGTATTCAGAGATCTGAAGCCTGACTCCATCCTGATTATCAATTCCAAATTCTCCATATTTGTCATTAAAAGGACTTGGTTACTTGGGGTTAGGTATAAAAACTCCTTCAGAAGTATGTTTAATTGTCCAGTCGTGTGCCCAAACTAGTTCATTATGCCAGTGGCAGATATAGAGAGCAAACATGGTGGGATATGATTTGATTAACACTGAGCTTCTTTCTTTCTCCCAGTTTTCCTCGTCCTGTGACTGTGGAACCCATGGACCAGTTAGATGACGAAGAGGGACTTCCAGAGAAGCTGGTTATAAAGAACCAGCAATTTCACAAGTATGCAGTCCTGATAGATTACTTGTCAGGTGTTTGCTTCTTAAGGAAGCTTGTAAAGGGATATGTAAAAGAGGCAGGTCTTTAGTGTACATGTAAACTGGCAATCATCTTTGCCCTAAGAAGGAGTATGGTACTTTAGTTGGATAATCTTGAACAAAGTTAGTAACCTGGAAACCTTGTCTATAGGGAGCGAGAGCAGCCACCGAGATTTGCACAGCCTGGCTCCTTTGAGTATGAGTATGCCATGCGCTGGAAGGCACTCATTGAGATGGAGAAGCAGCAGCAGGACCAAGTGGACCGCAACATCAAGGAGGCTCGTGAAAAGCTGGAGATGGAGATGGAGGCTGCTCGCCATGAGCATCAGGTCATGCTAATGAGACAGGGTGAGTATAGGCCTGTAAATCTTATAGCTAGAAGAACAGAATGACCTTTTTCAGGAGTTTCTTTGTATCAATTAGTAGAAGGGCCTAAATCTCCACTTTTATTCTCTGAAATACTTTGTTAATCTTAGTAGTCTAATAGGCTTGGGAATGTGGCAGAGATACTGGATTCTGTGGAAAAGGAAATGATGGACTTGACTTCATTTTTGGAGTCTGGATACCTTGGGTGACCCATAAGGGGTATATCCTCTTTGTGTTCTGGATCTTTATTTATGGGAAGTTATTGTATTTATATGATGAGAATGAGGAATATTCTCAGTCAGTATGTTTTTCTAGATTTGATGAGGCGCCAAGAAGAACTTCGGAGGATGGAAGAGCTGCACAACCAAGAGGTGCAAAAACGAAAGCAACTGGAGCTCAGGTAACTTCTTTTCTTGAACTCCTTTTCTCTGACAATGTTAAACGGTAATGTCTCCCTCCTGCTTCTACCCCGGTGCTACCTCATGTATTTGTAAATATGTTGGCAAATATTTCCTGGCTGCTTCTCAGGTTCTTCCTTTGGGTGGGAGATACTTTAGCTGCCTGGGGTTTTAGGAGTTAACCTGGGGCTGTGCTAAAGAGAAAAGCGAGCCAGACGCGGTAGTTCACACCTATAATCCCAGCACTTTGGGAGGCAGAAGAGAGAGGATTTCCTGCCCAGGGGTTCAAGACTAGCCTGGGCAACTTGGCAAGACTTCATCTCTACAATATATCAAAAAATTAGCTGAGAGTGGTGGTGGCTCCAACTACTTGGAAGGCTGAGGCAGAAGAATCACCTGAGCCCAGCAGGTTGAGGCTGCAGTGGCTGTGAGCATGCCACTGCACTCCTACCTGGGCGACAGACTCCAAATCAAAAAAAGAGAGAGAGGAAGCAACTGGGTGCTAGTCTTGTGAGGCTCCTTTACGGGTTGCCTTAGAGGCTGAGCACAGTTAACAGTTTTCTGGTAAGCTATGATCATTTTCAATAGGCTAATCTCCTTGGCTAAGTCCCTTATGATAATGTGTTCAAGTTCTGGAATGCTTCTTCTTAAATGCCTTGTGACTCTGTAGGCAGGAGGAGGAGCGCAGGCGCCGGGAGGAAGAGATGCGGCGACAACAAGAAGAAATGATGCGGCGACAGCAGGAAGGATTCAAGGGAACCTTCCCTGATGCGGTATATCTCCCATGTGCCCATGATATGTCAGGCCAGTCATGATGTGACAAACCCATCATGAATTGTCTGCTAGGACACCAGGATATGACCAATTTTTCTATGTTATGGAACGCCTTTTAGAAAAAGTATAGGAAAGAAAGGGTAAGGTTTGGATTTAGGTGATTTGGGATGAAAAGCTGGGGCCACTGTATTCTGTTTAGTCTTAGTCACTGTAGGATGAGATATACTGAGTCCTATAGCAGATTTGGCTAGTCCTTTGCTGTCCTTCCAGTTGTATAAGTTGGAGCTTTAGAAGAAATCTACTTTTTCTCCCCCTTCCTCTCATCTCTTTTTGTTCCTAATAGAAGACACTGACTTGTGTCCTAGTAGTTCTGTAACTTTGAACTTGTTGCAAAACTAGCAAGGAGCTATTGGTGTGTTCCTCAGCTTGGTCTCAGTGCCCTTGGGATGTGTTACCACTCTATCTACTTCCCTTAGTGTGTGGTGTTCAATGGACTGTGGTAGAATACACTGCTGTCTTGGACTGTCTTGAGTATTTTTTGTTTTTCAGAGAGAGCAGGAGATACGGATGGGCCAGATGGCTATGGGAGGTAAGGATCTAAGAGGTTAATGGCTCTGATTCCCTTTTGTCTTTGGTCTCTGATGAGCTGTGTAGCCTCTGCTACCTAGCCTAGATGTAAGGGGGTGACATACATGTCTTAACCCAGAGTTCTTGTTGAATTGTTTTCTTTGACATGGAGACTAACAATCTCCAATTCCTGTACTGATCGTGCTACTCTGCTTTAGGTGCTATGGGCATAAACAACAGAGGTGCCATGCCCCCTGCTCCTGTGCCAACTGGTACCCCAGCTCCTCCAGGACCTGCCACTATGATGCCGGATGGAACCTTGGGATTGGTAATAAACTGCAGGGCCTTACAGTAATTCTGAATAGTCATAGAAGAAGAAAGGACTGTCTATTCACAACCTTGGACCTACAGATAATCAGTCTGTAGACTAGTGGTATCCATTAAATGTAACCTAAAGATCTTACTGTTGAATCTTTTTTTTTTTTTGAGTCACGTCTCTGTCACCCAAGCTGGTAGTGGTTCAATCATGGCTCACCACAGCCTCAACCTTGTGGGCTCAGGTGATCTTTCTGTCTCAGCCTCCAGGGCAGCTGAGACTACAGGCATGTGCCACCATGCCTGGCTAATTTCTTTGAATTTTTAGAGACAAGGTCTCTCTATGTTGCCCAGGCTGGTCTCTAACTCCTATCCTCAAGCGATCCTCCCACTTTGGCCTTCCAAACTGCTGGGATTACAGGTGTGAGCCACTGTGCCCTGCCTATTTTTGAATCTTGAACAAGCTCAATCTCTGACAATATTTTATCTAAGCAAATACTTCTGTCTGATAGGTCACATAAAATAGATATGAATCCAAAGGCTTCATGATTCATAAGCAATCCTTAGGTTGTTTTGGTTCTGGTGTCAGAGTGGATAGTGGCAAAACTGAATAGGCCTAAAGTTGCTGAAGATTGATGCTTGCCCTTGCTCCTGTCCACATACCTAGCTCAGGAAAAAGGATTTAGCAAGAACTTATCCAACCTAGGAATTTAGGATATTGCTTAGTCAATAGTGAGGAATGTGGATGAAAAGTTAGAAGTACAAGCTCACCTCTGTAATCCCAGCACTTTGGGAGGCAGAGGTGAGTGGATTTGCCTGAGGCTTTGAGACCTGGGTGACATGGTGAGACCTCATCTCTACAATAAATAAAAAAGTTAGCTGAGTATGGTGGAGCATGCCTGTAGTTCCAGCTCCTTGGAAGGCTGAGGCAGAAGAATCGCCTGAACCCAGCAGGTCGAGGCTGTGGTGGGCGTGAGCAAGCATGCCACTGCACTCCAGCCTGGGTGACAGAGTGAGACTCCAACTCAAAAAAAAAAAAAAAAAGTAGGATGATTGGGTAAGTCCCTAATTCAGGCAACCTTAATTTCAGGATTATCCACTAAAGTTCTAAACAGACTTGGTCACCCACCCCTATCATCAGGAGCCTTGAATAGTTGAGTGGGAATGGTCCCCCAGTGGAGGGACTACATACGGATGGGTGGGAAGCTTAGAAGAAATGATTATGTTGTAATGTTGCTCTCTTTTTCTCTTCAAGACCCCACCAACAACTGAACGCTTTGGCCAAGCTGCTACAATGGAAGGAATTGGGGCAATTGGTGGAACTCCTCCTGCATTCAACCGTGCAGCCCCTGGAGCTGAATTTGCTCCAAACAAACGTCGCCGATACTAATAAAGTTGCAGTGTCTAGTTTCTCAAAACCTTAAAAGAAAGGACCCTTTTTGGACTA